CTTTTTAGTTAGGGGCCTGTCACCTGCTTGTTTCTATGGATATGTCAAAGCTCTGACTGGAATGTTCCACAGTATGACATTAAACAGCTCTGCCTTACATTTATTTAATTACAGGTGGTTTCATAGCTCAAAAATTCCTAGAAAAGCGCATTCTGACTGTGAGCACGGTTGCCTCTCTGCAGATCTGACCTGGGCCTGAACTTGGTCTGATTTGGTCTCCATTACGATAGAAAGGTTTAATGCCATACTGTGAAACATTCCAGACAAATCAACAACATGTCCATAGACCCCCCCACCAGAAAAGTTAGACAAATGCACTTTTAATCAAGCTGTCTGTCCAGTTACTATTGTTTTTAGAAATGTACTTGATCTTTTTGGCAAATGAATGGGCGACAAATACCCATTCTTTTATGCATCCCTCAAACCAAAATTACTACTTATTGTTTATATTGTGATGGGACTGACTGACCTAACCATAGGCTTACACACATGCAAACAGCTAATAATGACTTGTGTTCAGTGCGTAAAAGCTATTGTGCACACTGGCACTCCTCGCCTCGGGTAAAAGAGGAGGTTGATTTTCATTGATGTCGATTGGCCAAAGAAGATTATAGGTCTCCTTGGCTCCGCGTAATTAGCCACGCGCAGACCTGGTTTATTAGCACATAGGCACGATGCGCTCCGGCTAGCACACTATAGGGACATCCTTCACATGCTAAGACCGCGCGCACTCAAGCTAGTCTTAATTGGATCTGCTGTCTTAGTGCCCACTGTTAACTATGTTGTAATTAAAGCCTTCTAAATGTGTGAAAACCATGGATTTTCACTCATTTATCATCCATTACTTGACTTTTGTTGCCGCTTCGGAGTTGATTGTTAATTAAATATTTCTTGGATAATGCGATCTGTCATACTAAGTGATCGAATTACAGGGTTGACCTTTGATTGAACTCGTGAGGAGGAATCATTACCAAAATGTGACATGAATGACAGTGGTTTAAGATGGTTATCAGTACAGGATTATAGATGTGTAATTGTAATTGAGAAGGCAGAAAGAATGTAATTATCCAATAATGGACGGCCATGCAGTTTCTCATCCAACCAGTTGTACCATTGTGTTTTTACCCTCCACACACCTTCACTACAATCATCTGCATGATTTCAGACCTGCAACTGCTAATCTAATTAAAGTTTTAAAAAAGTTGCGGTTAATTTGAAGACTACCACTTCATGACATCACAAGTATAAAGGATAATAAAGGATTACACAATCATGTGTGAATGAAACAAAACCACGAATGGACTGATTTTCAAAAAAAAGATCAAATCGTTCAATTCTGGTGTTTTGATTTGATTCCGGGTTGAGTTCGAATCACACGTGTCCCTCCATGTGCACTGTGATGTCACTTTGGCACAGGTAGGAAAAGACCAAGCCAGGGGTCCTTTTTTAGATACAGATAGTTAACAGCTTTATAGAGGATCACTGCTGTTTTGTCTTTCATGAACTTTTAAAAATCTCTAAAACTGCTTTTTGGCTTTGTGCATGTTAATCAAATACACTCAAAATTCATACGCGATTTGCGCTACTGCGATCTTTTTAAAAACACCGTCTCCTCAATTTGATTTTAGTGAATATACATTGTTGCATCTTGTTCAGTGATGCAAAGAGGAGAGCTTGTTTTTATCAGCGGCAGGGGCAGGTTGCTGGGAACAAGGTCCTGTGTGATACACAAACATGAGAGTCAGGAGGAGCAGAGACTTTCAGCCATCAAACAAAACAAATGCAGAAAACAAAGATTTGATGGTGATGTTTATGTCTAATAGCCTTTCATCATAAACCAAAGCCCCTCAGTATTTTTTTCAGTGATTGTAGCCTAAATCATTAAGCCAAATATTTATTCATAGTGCCCAACTGCTTATTTTATTTTAATTATAAGAATTATAAGAACTGGCAACCTATTTTTAATCTAATTTAGAAAGTGATTTATTTTTATTATAAGTCATTTATTTTGGATATCTACTGTAGGAACACTAAATGTTGTGATGTATTGTTCATGCTAACAAAAGTTCTTAGTGGCAACGTAACAATATCCAAATCTCTCAGTATGATATTCTCATGATATCCATCTTACGGTACAATACTTATTGCGATATTTTGTGGAGACAAAAAAATAATACATAATTGTGAGTATGCTACTTTTCTCACGTCATCCAAAAATCCCCAAAATTACTATTTAAAAGTGCTTCATAACAGTTATTTCAGCTTGTAGATTGGACTGAAACAGAGAAAAGGATCATGGTCTATGTAGTTCTCACAATTTTTTAGCTGTTGCTGCACCAAAACAATGAATTTAAGCAAAGAGACTTGTAATTCGATATATTGTGACGGCCCACGATATTATTGTGAGACTTTTGATGATACAGTATCACGATATTTCAATTATTATTACATCCCTAGTTCTTAGCATTAAAAAATGACTTTGATTTTTTAATTCATTGTTATTGGTATATTTTGTCTTTTAAGATATCTAAAATTTGGAATCCAAAATCAAAAGTTGAATCAAATCGTGACTGAAGTGATTCATCCCATCCTTAAACGAAGCACAATGTCGGGTATGTTTCTGAGGAGCTGAAAGCAAACATATTTTAAAACTCACAAGAATCCATTTTGCGGGACATTTGAACCATAGTTAATCTACTTGCACTGAAGGTTTTGGACTGCCCATACTGTATATTTAGCTTATATTGAGTCCAAGTCTATTTGCTATTTGTTACTTGACTTATTTTAAATGCATGTCCTTATTTTCATTTTTATTACCATAGCTTATACCCACTTATATTCACATTTAGTATTCATTGCTTTATGTTGCACCATACCGCTGAAGTTCCTAGTTTGGAAATTTTCTTGTTGAATATATGTGTGCATGTGTATGTTCCACATCAAACCTCCTTTGTTTTTGTTTTCTCTTTACTCTATATGTAAATAAAGGTACATTTTCTATTCACTGACAATGGGAATAAAAGATCTGATTTATGATGAAAGACTTAGGCAAACTTTATTGATCCACAAGGGAAATTATTTGGACACAGTAGGTCACACATCACAAAGTACTATAATAAAAAAAGAGAACAAATATAAATGGTAATACTAAAAGTTCTAAAAATTCTAAATAAGTAGCAAAACTAACTACTATATATACACTACTATACTATAATAATTGCTTTTTTTTTTTTTACCTGTGCATTCATATAATTGCGTCTACATATATAAGGAGGTAATAATACTGCATTATTCTTGGTGCTTTCAGAGGCCCCCAAAGTCACTTTATAATACTATTTTTATTTCTATAGTACCATAATTGCTTTTTTTTTTTTTACCTGTGCATTCATATAATTGCGTCTACATATATAAGGAGGTAATAATACTGCATTATTCTTGGTGCTTTCAGAGGCCCCCAAAGTCACTTTATAATACTATTTTTATTTCTATAGTACCAGCATTGCATAGCTCTTTTGTACTCCAGCTCTTTGGTACTGGTCTAGCTCTACCAAGAAGCTCTTCACCCACTCACGCTCTTAGTCACTCAGTAAAAATTGTGAGATATAGTTGGGTGAGCTTTTTGCAGTTGCCTATAGAAAAGTACAGAACACGTATTAAACAATGTGCAGACTGGTATTGCATTCTTCAAGTGAAATGCAATCAATACTTCACTCGGATAGTAGCATTCAAACAGAAAAGTATGGAATTCAAGTTCTCAAATAACCACAGAATGACTCTACATGTTGTGGGATTCAAACCTATAATCTTGTGGCTATGAGGCTCGACAACTTTGTCCGCTGTCCCACATTTTGTTCTCATGTCTTATTCTGTCCCTTTCTCCTCCTCTTTGTTTGCTTGTTTTTCTTCTTGCTGCATTTCGAGCTAAAATGGCAACAATTGTTTGTAATCCTTGAGAAACATGGGCACATGGTGGGGGTTAGAAATGTCTGGTGAAATTGTACCAGGGCTGCACAATATAGGCTTTTACAATCTGTCCAAAATAATAATAATAATAATACATTTTATGAGCCTTTCTAACACCCAAGGTCAGTTTACAGGGCACAAACACAATAAAAGCAACATCAAAACAATTTAAAAACATTAAACAGAGTAAGCTAATATAAAAAGATGAGTTTTAAAAATCACAATTATCAAATCACTAAAGCTGCAGTTATTAGATACTTTCCTTTGTAAACAACAAAATATTCAAACTTTTTCATAGAAAAATCTTATTGTACCCATAAACTGATTAATCTCAACTTTATTTTTAGAGCACTTTAAAAACAACACAGTCGGTCTAAGTGCTGTACACAAACAAGATAACTGTGACAGTGACAGGTACAGGTAAAATATAATACAATACAGGTAAAAAGTTAACCCTCAAACTGTGTTAAAAGCCAAGAAAAAGATTTTTTAGTAGAGACTTATACAGGCAATGAGTTGGTCAGCCTGATTTGCAAATGGAGCCAATTCCACAGCCTTGGAGCAGCCACTGCAAATGCCCAGTCTCCTCTCTGTTTTCTCCTTGGGACACATAAATGGACATGGCTAAGCAAATATGAAGTGAGCATGGGCACAATTTTGGCTTCATCAACTCTGCCTCCAATTCATTTTATATTGAAGAAACACTGTAACTGCTGGTGTCAGGCTTTCATTTTGGTCTTAAAATGTTCTACATGATCCTGGTCTTTTTATTTCTCTAATTTTGTCTGTAAATAAATTCCTTTTCTTAATATGCAACTCAGCTCCATATTCCTCCTACAACTGCCAACCTCGACAAGCTTTACATTCATTTTACATTCTGTTGTTGTACCTCAATGAGCATGCTGAATGGTCCCTTTGTATTCATATTTGTAGCATTACTTGTGAATATTATAAACAGAAGGTGAAACTTCCGTTATAAGTTTTAAAAAAAATCTGTCTTTACCTTAAACATTTACATATGTCCCCTGTCTCCTCAGGTGTACCCAGGTTTGATGGTCACAGCAGGCCTTATCCACTATGTCCTAAACCTGCTTCACATCACTGTCCACATTCGGGACGTGTGTGTGTTCCTGGCCCCGGTCTTCAGTGGACTCACCGCCATCTCCACCTTCCTGCTGACCCGTGAGCTGTGGAACCAGGGGGCGGGGCTTCTAGCAGCCTGCTTCATCGCCATAGTACCCGGGTACATCTCCAGATCCGTGGCCGGGTCCTTCGACAATGAGGGCATCGCCATCTTCGCCCTGCAGTTCACCTACTATCTCTGGGTATGTACTTTAAATTATCAATAGTTCAATATCATTAAAGAATTATTTTTTTTTAATGAAAATTAAAATTGTATTAGACCTCGTTATGTCATTTAATATTGGCACTAAAGTCATGATCCCCACAATATTACAAAGTTTTCCTTTAACTGAAGAATCTATAATCGTCATCCATAGTCAAATTTCCTCCTCCATACTCTTAAGAACAGCCTGAACCAAAATAGTGTCACAACTTTGACTTGTACTTGTAACTTTGCTTCATGTGTTATCAAATATAAAGTTAACCATGCATTTTTATTCAAAACTTAAATTAAGGTAAGTAACATTTAAAAAATAAAATAATGAAAATAAAAGTTGCTTGTTCCACCATATATCTCACCAGAGACCACTGCTCTCTGAGGTGCCCCAGCGGTATTGAAGGATGGGTCAAATTTAGAGGACAAAGACAGGGAGGTAGAGGACAGGAAACCCTAACAATACAATAGCTCATTTGGTAGAGTGTCCACTGATCTGAAGGTTGGTGGTTCAAATCCCATTATAGACATAAGCATCATTGGTAGAGAGGTCAAATCCACTGGCCCACAGAGGTTTGCAATTGCAATTCCAACTCTCACAGAATACTGTTGTTATGCTCTTGGGCAAGACACTTAACTTGCCTCACTCCCAGTGTCTGTGTACATTGGTATCTGAATGTGTGTCTGCATAGGTGAGTGGTTTCTTGATGTAAAGCGCTTTGAGAGCCTTGAAGGTGGAAAAGCTCTATATAAAAATGTGACGATTAATGACAACTATACAGATTAGTTTTCTGTATTTCAGTGACAAAATAAATGACAAACTAAACATTCAAATGCATTTTAAAGCATTTGCAAGATCATATTCAAGTTGCATGATTTATCTGTCTCAAGAAAATGATTTTGATACAGCTGACAGTAAGTATAAAGATTTGATCAATGTCAGGATATTATGCAACTCCTCAATCATCAAATCATTAAACACAAATTAAAGTTGGACTCAAACTTTTTGTCTCCGAGCCTTGACGTCCTGCTGAGGGCTGACGAAAGCTCTCAAAAACGAAGTGACTGTACTGACCTGAATTAAAAGTGAATCAATAATTACGAACACATTACATCAGATCTGAAGAGAAAATTCATTGAGATTACATCATCATAGAGATGTCAGACTTTACATTTTATAATTATGCTATATGGGAGTATGGAAAGGTTGGCTGTCTTTTGTTAGTAGAAATATATATAGTGCTTTGTTGGTTTGAAATTACAGTATTGATTTGATTGTCAAAGCTACACAACAGTTCTCACAGTATAATCTTCCAAAAAAATTACACAAGATGGTATTTTGCACTTTTTTTTTCTTGAATTTGAACTAATATTTTCAGCATGTTGTGGCTTATTGGTGATGGATTGCACAAAGAAGATTTGATTATCGAAGAATCCCCGAAAAATATTCTCAGTATCACGCACCCTAGATTAACACTATTAAATCACAGTTGTACTATATCTACTTTATATATTTTTATAATATAATTTTGCAGATTAAAAAAAAAAGTATACAGTCATGGTTCATGCATACTGTACATTCACGCTTTCTATAGCCATTATGATGATGCCGTTAAATGCTTGCTAAACCCATAGTATATGATTGGACGTAGCGAACCTGTTAGCCCCTGCATTCCAAATGGGAAGTGAGCATGGGGGCACTTTTGGTTCCACTGACTCTGGCTCCAGTTCACTTTGTATTGAGAAAATGTCGCTCCTCTCCCTGTAGCTATTGTGCACCTCATTTTGGTCTTAAAATGTTCATATTACCCCACTTTACATAATCCTGGTGTTTTTTAGTTGGCGATTTTGTCCGTAAATCACAAAGGAAGTCGTAATTTTTTCAAGTCTCAAGTCTTTGACCACAAATCCGAGTCAAGTCCCAAGTCAAAGACAGGTAAGTCCAAGTCGAGTCTCGATTCACTGGCCCATAAGTCCAAGTCAAGTCCAAGTCGTCTGCTTTGAGCTTCAAGTCATTTCAAGTCTTTAAACCAAAGTACCAAATATAGCTTAGATTGTTGCAGTTTATATAACGTTTAAGAAAAATTTTACTCATAAAATCATAGTATATTTATATATGAGTATTTCTAGAGTATATAAGAGTTGTAGATATTAATTTAGTTATTTTTTCTTTTTAAATGTATTGACAAGATCTTCGAGTGAATCGTTATGGTCAGAATAGAAAGAATTCAGATTTAAAAGTGCTTCTCAACTCTTCTCAAGTCACAGGCCTCAAGTCCCAAGTCTTAATCTATTTTATCAAGTCAAATCTCAAGTCTGACTCGAGTCCAAGTCATGACTTGCAAGTTTCCACCTCTGGTAAATCCTAGTTCCTGGTTCTAACATGGAACTTCTGCCCTTTAACTGTAGCCTTGGTGAGCTTCATTTGACTGGAACAGAACGCTGTGGTTAACCTCACACTCCCTTAGTCCACTTTTTTGTACAGTCTATGCTAAAAACCCCCCCCCCCCCCCCCAAAAAAAAAAAAAACAAAAAAAAAAAACAACTTGATACAGCTTTCCATTCCATTTGTACATGCTTACTTCGTCACCTCATACCAAACTACCTAATTGAAAATAATCTGCTGAAGAACATTGGAAGTACTGTGGCAACATGGGTTAATGCATTGGCCGCCATGTTTGTGTGCCATAGTTTTCAAAGGGCAGCTCTCCTGAGGGTAAGAGGATTCAATTATAGATTATGGACGAATGTGTGCGTGTCACTGGGCTAAACAGAGATTAGGCCTGGAGAGTTAAATGGGTTATTAGTGGGTACATTGAACTTGGGGGATAATGAAGATTGGGGTTTTATGTGGGACTTCTGCTGCAGAGGAAGGAGAGATTGGTAAAAGGAACATGGATCGCCAATGGTTGCAATATGAAAGGAATGTAGTCTAAGCTTTTAAATGATGTTTAAATGTCCTAAATTACGCAAAATTTACTCTTGTGAGCTTTAAGCCACGTTAGAATGTTATTAACTCTTCAAAAAGATATCTGGAGTTTTGTTTTGTTTCATTCACACATGTTTGACTTACCCTTTATGTCTGTCTGCATCTCCAGAGCTCAAAATGGTTTGTGATGTCAATTAGACATCAAGTTAACAGCTACCTTCTATGTTTTGTTTAGCATAGAGCGACAATTCCAGGGCATGAAATTATCCAAAAGATTATAGTGAAGGTGTATAGAGTTAACAACACAGTGGAGCACGTCCTGTATTACCACATGACATCACAAGGTGGAACAGAATGTTCCCAGTTTGACAGAAGAACTCAGCCTAAATATGCAAATTTGTGTGTTAAACATGCGTCAGTGAAACAAAACACAACTCCAGGTATGTTTGTGATGAGGAAACATTATATCAGAAACATAGATCAGACAATAGTGTAATATAGGCCCTTTAAGGCTTATTGGGAAAATGATGATGGTGATTGAGTCATGTTGCTGTATGAAATTATGTGCCTTTTACTTAAATGCTAAACTCGTGTACAGTGGAGAATTGCAGCTAAAGACAGTTAGAGGTCATGGAAATAAAAAAAATCCATAACATCCAAATGTTCACATCTATTTATGTGGTTTGGTCCCATGATCTCAAACAGGACGAGGGCCCTGGAGCAGGAGGCAGGAGCAGGAGGCAGGAGTAGACCTGTCCCTCTGAAGAGGAGCGCGTGTGCACCTGTCCCACTGTGAGATGTATGATCCAGAGCCGACCCGACGCAGCCCATTAGAATAATGCTGCTGCAAACAGATGGGCCCAGTACATATTTTGTGTTCAGGACAAATGATGATGAGAACAAATGAGAGCCACGAAGTTTAGCAGAGTTTTTGGAGCATTACACACGTTCAAAGACACTATACAAAATAAAGGAACAAGTGATTAATCTGGCTCTGCAGGGGGACATTTTTAAGCTGAAATCCACTAAAGGTTTAAAGAGTTTAAGAACACGGCACAGGGCTGTTAGCGCGCTGCAGGCAGCTGTGTTTGATTGGAAGTGCTTACCTAAAGTTCACCTTTTCTAAAGTTCACTGAGCGGTAGAGGCTTGTGCTGAGCCTGCAGTCCTGCATCTCTCACTCAGATTAGCCTTATGGAAAGATGACATTTTAAACATTTGCACTTTGCAGGGCTGGGCCACGCTTGTAAAAGGTGTAAGAAGTGAACCAACCAATCAATACGCATTAATGAAATTAATTTCCTGGGTGGTCCTACCCTCAAATAATCCACTCTCAGGACTGAGCCTCAGAGAGGTTGGTGTGATCGCTCACTTGCCTCACAGCAAGAAAGCACAAGCACTGGGGCAGATAGGCCAGTAATGCCACACACGTGTGAGAGTGTCACTTCTGTTTGCAGAAATGACTCATGTGGCCCTAAATGTGTCTGTGTGTTGTTCTCTGCACATATTTGGCAAATGTGACTGATTAAAATTGGTCAGAAAAAGCCAATAAGTCCACATCATGTAATCCTTGAAGGACGAGCCAAGATTGTCTGACCAAACTGAGCTCTCGATCTGGAGATGGGTCCCCATCCCCTATAAAGTATTTTTAACTCTGTTCTCACCGCTGGAGTCTGGAACAGCTCTGAAACTCCTGGTTTCTGCTTTTGTCTCTGCTCTGTTCTCTGCTCCTGTGTTTGAGGAGGTTACTCAGGGGTCGCTCTGGGGTCATGTACCCCTGTGTCTGTGTGACTGATCCAGACATTTGACAAAGTGACAGGAGCAGTGGGGACACAGAGCATGTCACAGATCTGAGCCTGAGGCGCTTTGTTCACACACAGACCACTGCAGTGAGCCCAATGTGACGAAACCGCGGTATCACCTCTTCCTCATCCTTCCCTCCTCTTCCTCCTTCTCCCCCCCATCCTCTTCCTCTGGTTCAAAGCTCCTCAGTGAAGCATGTCTCTGTCCACACAGCCAAACGGCTCAAAGGTGAAGGAAAAACTGGACCAACCACCTACAA